GTATTTTACCGATATCTTGAGAGATATGTATTTTGATACATAGGTGTGGAAAGATTCATTTTCTTGTCTCATTTTATTCTTTGCAGCATGTCATGAAAGGAGGTCAACCAAGCACGAAGATGTTGTGATAACCATGTTAATAACTATCCATTTTGGATAGCTTGTTATGAAAATTTATATGAAATCTACCGATCTATGGAATGCTTGCAAGACGAAATAAAAGAGGGACAAATTGTACAACCTATTCAAAAATAGTAGGATTGTCTTATTATCACGACCCATACCCAGAATTCGGAATCTGGATTCAGCATCTAATGGTTCCGATATTCCCTTTCATCCTTTGTGACGTTATCACGACACTTCTAAGAGTAAAAACTATCCCCACAGACAAACATGAGTCCTTCTAAGATATTTTATTCTCATTCACAGCATACTAGGCAAATTCTCAAGAGATCACCCAAGAATTACTCCCAGTTTAAATTTCGAACTTTTCGATAATATATATTTTATGTCATTTGAGATATGCCTACTTGTAACATAAAAATAATATCGATTATAGAAGTGACTTTGACCCGATATTGTTATTGAAATATCGAATACTTTAATTAATTTTAATAACATTTTTAATATATCCATTTATTTGACCAAATCAAGGTAAGATATGACCTCATTTGATTCAAATATGTTATATATTGTATTCATTATTTTAATAACTTCCATAAAATATACATAAATGTCTTCCAAAACAAAGTAAACTTTATACAAATGATTGTGAGATAAATGTTTGTTTCTCTTTCTTTCCTCATCTCGTTTGATTTTCTATATTATAAATTTTAAACATCATATTATAAACAAGTGTTTCAATCCATGTGTTGCAAGTGTTATTTTATTTATTTATTTTAATTTGTGTTTATTTTAAATATCTCGACATAAGTCTAGAACGGAAGGAATTTGCCATATTTTAGGGCACAACGAGTTTCTTGTTTGCTAGACTAATTTTATACTTTCTTACACTAAGCTAGACAAAATTCTTTTATGAATTTGAAGACCTAATTTAGAGAACTTTTTAAGATTAATGAATATTGTTGTTTTTGTTACTGTAGATCTTGTATTTCTACTCGAATGAGATTTTAGTGTTTTAATTATGTCTAATAGGGTATATCATGATTAGGGGTGTGCATGGGTGGTGATATGAACCAAGAGACATCATTCATACAATATACTTCAATGAAGATGTGAAGAAAATGTTGTCAAAATTATCAAAATAGGTTGCAATTCATGTCATTGAAGAGGAATGAAGTTTGATGGTTATAAATTTTGGGTGGGTTACAATTTAAAGTAACTTAGAGTTATTGTATTTTAAGACATTTTATTTACTTTAGGTTATATTTACCTAATGGCTAATTATGGTCATTAAGTATGAATGTTACAACTTTTGGAATGCCTTTAATAGTTTCATTTTGAGGCTATATAAAGCCATGTATGTTGTATTTGTAAGGGAGACTTAGAAAATATATCAAAATAAGCATTTGTGCTTTTCTTTAGCCAATGGCTAAGTTTCTTTGCAATTCTATGTAGTTTAGATTGCATGTAGAATCATTCAAGCTCGACATGATCAATCTTGCTTGTGGAGTGATTCGAATCTCAAACAAGTGTTTGAGATATTTGATCAACAAGAATCATTGAAGCTAGACATGATCGATCTTGCTTCTGGAGTGATTCGAATCTCAAACAAAGTGTTCTTGGCTTGAGATATTCGATCGACAAGGTAATCCGAATCTTATTTCCCTTGTATTGATTCCTTATCATATCATTTGGTATCAGAGCTTCAGGCTCAAGATCGGATATATGTTTCCTTTGCGTTTCTTCTCAATTTAATTTTTATTTATTTTCATCTTTTTAGTTTTTAATCGACCCAAAGTTCAAAATTCAATCTTTGCTCTATTTAAAATTTTGAGAGGTGAGAATGAGAGCTTCATTTGTGTAAATGAGTGCAAACAGAGTGGCCTAAAATTCCTTGAGTGTATACACGTGAGAGAGTGTTGTGAGGTTCTTTGTATTTCCATAACTTATTTTTTGCAGCAAAGTTTCACAAATAGATTCGAGGACGAATACTCTTGAAGAAGTGGAGAATGATATGAACCAAGAGACATCAATCATACAATATGCTTCAATGAAGATGTGGAGAAAAGGTTATCAAAATAATCAAAAGATGTTTCAATTCATGCTACATTGAAGAAGAATAAAGTTTGATTGTTGTAAATTTTGGGTGGGTTATAATTTAGAGTAATTTAGAGTTATTGTATTTTAAGACTTTTTATTTAATTTCGGTTACATTTACATAATGGCTAATTATGGCCATAAAGTGTGAATGTTACAACTTTTGGAATGCCTTCAATAGTTTCATTTTGAGGCTATATAAAGCCATGTTTGTTGTATTTGTAAGGGAGACTTGGAAAATATATCAAAAGAAGCATTTGTGCTTTTCTTTAGCCAATGGCTAAGTTTCTTTGCAATTCTATGTAGTTAGATTGCATGTAGAATCATTCAAGCTCGACATGATCAATCTTGCTTGTGGAGTGATTCGAATCTCAAACAAGTGTTTGAGATATTTGATCAACAAGAATCATTGAAGCTAGACATGATCGATCTTGCTTCTGGAGTGATTCGAATCTCAAACAAAGTGTTCTTGGCTTGAGATATTCGATCGACAAGGTAATCCGAATCTTATTCCCCTTGTATTGATTCCTTATCATATCAGGTGGGATTGAGTTGGGTTGGGAGAATTTTTTTTGACCCAGCCAAAAATTCGGGTTGGTTAGATTGGTAACCCAACTCAACTCGAAAATTTTAGGAACCCAACACTCTATTTTCGGATTGGGTTTTCTGTTGTTAAAAAAATTAAATTTGGAAAGACTTTTATTTATGACATTTCATAATTATTAAATATAATATTAGATAAAATATATTGATCAAGGAGACAACTGCCTCTATGCAGTACTCGATGCTGACGAGGACCAACTACAACGAGTGGACTTTGTTGATGCGGGTCCTAATTTGGCCTTCTTTCTCTCAAAAGTCTTGTCCCTCATTTTTAACGTTTAAACTCCTTTCTCTCGTCATCCAACTTATAAATATGGGTGGTTGCACTAGCAAGCCTAAAACCATGGAGAAGGAAGGCGTCCTTGTCCCCAATTTTGTTCATGTTCTTGTTGTTAAGGAGTCGAAGAAGACAACAACGAAGAAGGAAGCAAGATTGAAGAAGGAGAAGGATGTGAAGGTCGAAAATGAAGAAAAAAAGAGTGATGATGATGAAGCTAATGAGAAGAAGGTTGAGGAGAAGAACCAAGCGCCGCCCCTTGAATGTTTGCTCGTTGAGGGCAAAGCAACCGAAAAAGCAATCTAGGACAAAAAAGAAAAGCCTAAATAAGAAGCTTGAGCAGGCAGGCTATAGTGATAGTAATATGACTGGTGACGTTGATGATTGTAAGAGCATCAGCGGCATGATTTACTTCAGGCGACGCGATCTGCTGGCAATGAACAAAACATAAGATAGTTGCTCTGGCTTCTTGCAAAGCAGAGTACATCGCCACTTTGACAGCGGCCACACAGAGAGTTTAGCTTGCACGGCTGATGGAATAACTTATTGGAAGAGAAAGAGATCCACCAATGCTATACGTGGACAACAAAGCTATATCTGCCTGATCAAAAATCCAGTTTTGCACGACTGGAGCAAACACATAGAGATAAGGTTTCATTACATCCGAGAGTGTGCACATCAGGGCTTATCAAGGTTGACTTCATCTGAACAGAGTAGCAGCTTGGAGACATCATCACCAAGTCTCTGGTGCCAGTAAAATTTGAGAAAGTTAGCTCAAAGATCGGAGTTTGAAATAATAAAGTATAGGAGTTTTAAATAATAAAGTAGATATAGCACATATTTCTTTATTTAGTTTATTAAGTTTTTTTCTTAAATCAGTTAGTTGAATCTTTTTTAGACAATTTGACTCCGTAGAATGAGTACCATATTTTTAGTTGGCCATTTGGCTAGGCTCAAGTTTAGTTGGCCACTTCGAACATTTTTAGAATCCAAGTTTGTTTTAAATACTCCAATCAAATGAGAAACATTAGGACCGACAGGTGTTTCGGTGTTTCAGCAACAACAAAACCCAAAGCATTCGTTCCCTTGCTCTTTCTGTTATTTTCTTGGCTTTCTTCTTTTTCCCTTCTTCCAACAATTTCTTCCTAAACGAGAAAAAAAAACATTGTTGGAAGAAGGAAAAAAATAATAATAATAATAATAATAATAACAAAAAGAGCAAGGGAATGAAAGCTTTGAGTTTTGTTGTTGCTGAAACACCGGTACTGAAGGATTGAAGACTTACTAGGAGGAGGTGAACCATCGGGACTGGCGACGCACGAGCTCGAAGAAGAGGTGATCGAACTGCATGCCATCAGCGCAGATGAATCGAACTCTTTAGCCGAAGCGGAGAAGAACCTGTGTTGGCTGAAGGCAATGCAGGAAGAGATGGCATCCATCACTAAGAACAAGACATGGAGTCTGGAGGACATGCCGCCGGGACATCGACCCATAGGGCTCAAATGGGTGTTCAAACTGAAGCGTAACGAAGAGGGAGAAGTTGTGAAGCACAAGGCCCGTCTCGTGGCGAAGGACTACATCCAAAAGCAAGGAGTGGACTTCAAAGAGGTGTTCGCGCCGATGGCAAGGTTGGAATCTGTCTGCCTGTTGCTGGCAATTGGAGAATATCATTCCTGGGAGGTCCACCACATGGACGTGAAGTCCGCTTTCCTCAACAGAGAGCTGAAGGAGACTGTCTACGTCCGACAACCACCTGGCTTCTTCGACAATGACAACTCTGATAAGGTACTGCGCATACACAAGGCACTCTACAGGCTTCGGCAAGCACCATGAACCTGGAACGCGAAGCTCGACAGTACCCTGCTGTCGCTGAAGTTCAAGCGATGCCTCTGAGCATGGCATGTACACGCGTGGCCACGGCGAGCAGCGGCTGATCGTGGGAGTGTATGTTGACGACCTCATAATCACTAGAGACAACATGGAAGTTCTTGAAAGATTCAAAAGGGAGATGTCAAAGACCTTCAAGATGAGCGATCTCGGCGTGCTCAGCTACTACCTTGGCATCGAAGTGCAGCAGAGTACTATCGGCATCACCATCTGTCAAGGTGCGTACGCGAAGAAGCTGCTGAACACAACTAGACTAGTCGACAATAACCCTACAAGGACTCCAATGGAGGCCTGGCTCCAGCTAAGGAAGGTCAGCACTATGCTGACAGTCGACGCCACCAATTACTGCAGCATTGTGGAGAGTCTGCACTATCGGGTAAACACACGCCCTGACCTCGCCTATTCCGTTGGATACGTGAGTAGGTTTATGGAAGCACCTAGGGAGGAGCATCTCGTGACTATCAAGTGCATCCTGCGCTATGTGGCCGGAACCAGAGGCTGAGGTGTGAGATACTGTGCAGGGAGAGAAAAGAAGAAGTTTGAGCTGATCGGCTACAGTGATAGTGATATGGCCGATGACGTTGATGATCGTAGGAGCACCAGCGGGATGATGTACTTTCTCTCAGGCGACGCGATCTGCTAGCAATCAACAAAACAGAAGGTAGTTGCTCTGTCTTCTTGCTAAGCAGAGTACATCGCCGCTTTGACAGCGGCCACACAGGGGGTCTGGCTTGTGCGACTGATGGAAGAACTCATCGGAAGAGAAGGCGATCCAATAATGCTATACGTGGACAACAAAGCTACGATCTCCCTGATCAAAAATCCAGTTTTGCATGATCGGAGCAAGCACATAGAGATCAGGTTCCATTACATCCGAGAGTGTGCAGCTCGGGGCTTATCAAGATTGACTTCATCCGAACAGAAGAACAGGTTGAAGACATCTTCACCAAGTCTCTATCGCAGGTAAAATTTGAGGAACTTCGCTCAAAAATCGTAGTTCAAATAATAAGGTAGATATACCGCGTGTTTTAGGAGGAGATTGTTAGATAAAAGCCTTTGGTTTTCTTGAATAAAAAATAATAATAATAATAAATTAAAAAAAAAATCAGGTTTCCCCTTCTACTTCGTGGGTTACACATATTCTCGCCGGACCCAAGGCGGCATTGTCGCTAAAAGACGATCCCTCTGCAGTTTTCGTTGGCCAAGAAAGTATTTCTCTACGCCTCCTTCGAACCAGGTTGTTGACATTTTCACGAAAAAAATTTCTCGACCTCTCTTTGAATTTTTTAGATCCAAGTTTCACGTTCGTTCAAATCAAACGCTCAACTTACGAGGGTGTTAAGGATATTTAGTACTGAACTATAGTTTACCATAAAAATCATATTTGATATTTTATCATAGGCAAATATTGTCTTCCATTACACATAGGTATCTTTTCATTTATTAATCTTTTCATATCCTTGTAATTTATTTGATTATAAATAGAGAACTTTCACATCATTTAGATGTAGTATACATTTATATACTGTAGTCTATCGATTTTAACTCTTCATCTAAATACTCCAAAACGAATAACCAAAGTAGAAAGAAGCATTCACACAACATACTACAAGGATTTCTACTCCTTTTTTAATAAATAAAAAAAAATTAAAAAAAAAAAACTAATGGTTACATAAAGCTACAAAACTACTAACAATTCTTCTCTTAGAAATAGTCTAAGATTAATTACTTTTTCGATAAATGTTCGTAACTTCTCAATACATAACTGTCCCATCTCATGATTCAAACATAATATTTAATATTCAACTTTAAACAAGTCGAAGTTATTGACTCACATACTCGGTCTCTCTACAAGGTGCTGTTGAAACATGCGAAACCTTTGAGGAGTCTGTGAATATACGAACAAATGTCTTCACCGCCCAAATGAGAAAAGGAATTATAACGCAACAAAGAGTAACAAGCCCAACAATTCCATACCAAACGCGAAGCAAAACCCATAAGTAACTTTGGGATGTTTGATTCCCATTAACCATAGCCGATCCACAAACGTATGCAAACGCTAAGCATGCAACAGCAACACACATGGCTAATGTCAACAACCCTCCAAAAACCCTGTTTTTCAAAGGAAACCCACTCACTATTAATAGAATAACACTCACCGATGCAAGGAACGATATCGAATTCGCCATAAAATAACGTATGTAGACATAGAGAGATTTGCATGCCATTATTGCAGTCCCAACTTGGGCATGCACCTCTGTTCCTTGTTTCCAGCTGCAATTAGTCCACACATCTTGTTGCCAAATCCCGCCCGGAGGGTCGATTGCACCTTGAAATGTCACGGTTGCTATCACCGTCGCTACCAACATCAACGTGCCTTGCACTTCTTGGAGCCAATCCCCTTTGTATTTTAGACTATTCTTCCAAATCTCCCACCATCCCCTCTTCTGGTTGGATACTCTTTTTCTTCTTTTCATGTTTCTAGTTCGTTGAACGCTCCATTTTTTAGTTCTTTTCATGACATTTGGAGCTTCAAAATCCGCCATGTTCAATGGATTTTCAGTATCATTGAAGCAAAAGATTAGAACATTTGGAACAATTTGTGGGTCTTCTTGAATTTGCGTCTTCAACGTTGGAATGAAGCCAATCTTTGACGTTCTTGTATTCCTTTCAATAGGCGGCATCGTTATCCTAATTTCATCATTGCCTCCGGCCTCTTGAGACTTGGAACACTCCATTTGTTTCTCGTTTAATCCACCTCCAAATGATAAATTTCTTCACCAACAATTTAATTGTCCAACATTTAGAGATGAGATTTGTATTTTTAAGTGGATTATAGGTGAAACTTTCCACGACATTGACCACTAAATTACTATATAGGAAATAGTGGTGACCAATTCAAGAAGAAGAACATTGACTAACAAATCATAAGGATATGTCGCCTTACGGAGGCAGTGACATATTCATAACCCATATTCATCCAAGTTTGAGTGGGCAACAAGTAATTTGCAACATTCTTCGGCGATTTCACGAATCCGTTCATGCAAAAGTGTTAAGAATGAGAAATATAATTGGGATCAAAGTATGTATTCTCATTGATATTCATAACCTTTAAAGAGGATAACAGGATAACAGCTATCAACTAATAAAAAATATAAACTAATTAAATATTTAGAATAAAATAAAATATACTACCAATCAAATCGATATATTTCATAATTAATATATTCTCGAGATATTATATCGAAATGGTGGTGAGCAAGCCAACAAGGGATTATTTATAAAAATATATGTTGTTTTGGGTCCCTCAAAATTTGGACCATGACTAAAAATACAAGGACTAAAACATAAATAAAAGTAATATTAAACAAAAGACGAAAACCAAATTTAAATCGAAATAAAAACAACAAATAATGCACAATTAAATAGAAAATTAATCTCTTTACATCAATGTTGTTCAAATTTAATACAAAAGAGAAAATGGGTTTAGAATAAAATTACAAAATGAAATACAAAGACGGACTTACGGTTCGTAATGACCCCTTCTGTGACCGCACAGCTCTCAAACACTCCTCCACCTCAAACACATCGTGCAAACTCTTGGAAAAAAAAATGGTGACCAAGTATTAAAAATACTAAGTAATCAACTTACTTATAAGCTCTTGTCACGTCTTTAATCTAATAGGTGTCCACGGGCTTTACTCTAAGCTCTAGGAATTTCGACTGAGTAACTGCTAACGGCCTGAAGACTACCTTTGTCATTCTTGGATGTCGTGGAGGTCTACTAGATTCTTAGGGTCATCTATGTTAGGTTATGGAGTCTACTGCTTAATTATAGTTTACCAAATGGTTATACATATTAAAGTTATATATGATAAATGACATATAAAGTAAATGGTCATATAAAGTAATCGGTAAAGTTATGTATACTAAATTGAACCATATATGTACACCCCTTGTCAGTGCTTTGAAAATGCATTTTCTGCATTCTCGGTATGTTTTTACTGTATATACTTGAAGTCATCAATATAAACTTCTAGTTAATATTTCTCTTTACATTTTCTCTCTTTTGTTATTGTACGATCCTAACACCTAATATCAAAGCTAGGCTAGATTCACCACGATTTGTGAAGATGGAAAGCTCAAAAATTGAAATTGAGAAGTTCGATGGATCCGATTTCTATTTCTAGAAGATGCAAATTGAAAATTATCTGTACCAGAAAGATTTCCATGAACCTCTATCTGGGTGAAGCCGAATACTATAACCACGAAACAGTGGAAGCTCTAGAATCGGCAAGCCTTAGGGTTAATCTGGTTGACGTTGTCAAGAAATGTGGCGTTCAACATCATTAAAGATAAAACAACGTCAGACCTGTTGAAGACGTTGTCGAATATGTACGAAAAATCGTTGGCTGTGAATAAGGTGTATTTGATGCGGAGATTGTTCAATCTACAAATGTCTAAAGGTGGATCTATTGCAGATCATATAAATGAATTCAATATGATTATAAGTCAACTGAGTTCGGGGAAAATGAAGATGAAATTAAAGTATTGATTTTAATGTCATCTTTACCTGAGTCTTGAGATATTGTTATTGTTGTGATCAACAGTTTCCCAGGATCTAAGAAACTAAAATTTGATATACAATTTTCAACAAAAGCATTCGCAAACAAGAAATCGAGTATTCATCTGGTGGTGCTTTCATTGTTGACCAAAGGGAAGAAGTAAATCGAACCTCCTTGCATTTTCTCACTCTTGTTCTTTGTGTTCATCTAGATCCAGTGTGTGTTGTTATGCGATCTTAACAGTCTAGACAGTTTAAAGTTTGTCTCTTGTCTCCAGGACGTCTAGGACAAACTCCTCGAGCTAACCTACTCGCTGAGTGCACATATGTCTATACCTTTGTGATCGTCACTCTCAATCCTAGGGTGCATTGTCTACTAAAAAATGTATTAACCTAGGTCAACATGTAAACTACTCTAGCTATAGCGCCCTGATCTTAACTTGGTTCTCTAGTACATGCTTGTTAGGGAGATAATCATATCGATCATCTAAAGCATGGGACACATAGTCTTAATGTTACCACGGGTGATACCTAGAGGTTAAGGAGGTCTATTGGATTCCTAAAGCAACTAGATGGCTTAACACGGACTTCTGGCTCTAGGGTACTATGTTCTAACTTCTTGAATCTTTCTAAGTCTAGGAGCACTAGGGTCTCTAACTATTGCTCCCGGTCTTAAGGTGCTTAGTCTATTGAAAGCATCCTGACGTAGGTCGTCGTCTAGCTCACCTAACTCTAGTGCCCTAGTTCTAACTCTGTGCAAATAAATTCACTCTACATGGAAAACCCACAATCAACGACTTGGAGCTAAACCTACTATATTATGCAAACATACAACCAAACAAGCTGAACAGGGAGATATCATCTATCAATCATCTCGAACACATATCACAATAGCTTATCCTTATTTCTAACCTAACGGAAAGTATATAAAATAGAAT